TTTCATTATGAATTTCTGTTCTCTAGGGCTATTTGATCTAAGCTATGCTGAAATGCAAATTGTATTTTATTATGAAGCCAAAAGTAAAACCCACTGCACTTTTTTTGGTTTGTCACAAGTACATACCCACACAGGCATTCTTCTTTAACATGGAAGAGATGTCTACCTTGTGCTTTTGATATTTTCATTGATATAAAAAGGATAATAAATGGCATCTCCCCTTCTACATGAAAATACATTTAGTAGGTAATGTCTAACTGAAAATGCCAGATAACATTTGGTTGAAACATTATACAACGAACATAGAGAGATCCTTGGATAGTTTAGTATTCCTATGAGTAGGACATTTCAATTGTCACTTGCCAGTCAGGCCTTCCCATCAAGCGATTGGACATAGGGTCTTTTCCTTGCTCCATGCAACCTATGGATTTCTGAGAAGTGTAGTCAAAAATCACAATCACTTGAACATAGCTAACTGTGGTGATACAGCAGCAGCAGCAGCTATAAATTTATGAATGGAACTGGTCTGAAGATCTTTGAGATTTCAATACCACAGGAGTAATGGTCCTGAAGTTTGGATGCATTTTTTAAGTTTGTCCATTTGAGATACCTTGATTTAAAAATTGTTGCCCCACGATGCACTGTTTCACTCAATTAAAGATTGCAAAAAGACATGAGAGCTATAGTAGTATAAACTTTCTTGGCTCATAGGACGTTTAATGTCTCAGTATTTTTTACATAGTGCTCCTAGGCCAAAGGAAACACTGAATAGTTCCATTTATTAAATAGATAGGTTCAAACATCTTAAATAAATACTGTATGTCCTAGCAACTTAGTAGCCATATGAACAAATAATGCACATTCATTGAAAGAAAAAATATTTTTAATTTTTAAATAACCAAAATTACTCACAAAAAGGATGTGTATCTGATCAAATATCCTTTTTTGTTTTCTTTTTCACAATCTTAACATTTACATTATTTTAATGTACATTGATTTGATGTTTCATCAATTCAAGAGGAGTTTTGCAAACTATCACCAGCCTATTTTATAAATCCCACAAAGAGGCATCATCCAGGATTTCTTGTTCAGATCAGATCTTGTCTTTTGTATTCCCATTTGGGTAATATCAATTTTGTTGTCTTCTATAACAGGGGTCTCCAACCTTGGCAACTTTAAGCCTGGTGGACTTCAACTCCCAAAATTCCCCAGCCAGCTTGCTGGGAATTCTGGGAGTTAAAGTCCGCCAGGCTTAAAGTTGCCAAGGTTGGAGACCCCTGTTCTATAATATCTTATGTTAGTTAAAAAAAAAAAGTAATTTCATCTACTAAAAAAATTATCCATTGATATCTGTACATCTTTCTGATATGTTAGTTATTAAAATTATTAAAAAGTTTTTAAAAATTTAAGGGAACAAATCATTTTTAAAATTCTTTTCTGTTTAGTCCTTTGGTTCCCTCTAGTGTTCATTTTCAACCATCAAGCCACAATTGATAGAAGTGTTTAATACTTCAGTTGTTTTCCACATTATTTAATTATGTACTTGTTTTTTAAATCTTTTTTTAAAAATATTTTTTAAATCTTTTTTTTTTAATATTCAAAGCTTCACTGGCCTCCCAGTCTGTTTAAAACTTTCTTAGATCAAAATCCTTTTTCTTTTTGCCCATTGTATATTATTTTAAATAATCCAAAAAAAAAGAGGTAAATCTCACCAGATGTCAAATTAAGCTTGTCATTTTATGGTTTTCTCTCTAATATCTATAAAGTGTTTGAACTGAACATTTCTGAATGTGATTACAAAGTGAGTTTTTCTGGTTTAGTGTCCTTATTAAAGCTCAGCTGCTGCTGAGAATAAAGATGTCATCTCCCTTGGCTCCTGGCACTCAAACCTCCAGGAAACTGCTGTTTTAGTCTCTGCCATTCAGACCACTCATGGGCAATTGCTTATTCTCTTGTTTTCCTGAGAGTTTGAAGATCTGGTCTACTTGCTGGTCATTCATTCTTCACAATGATCATTGTCTCTGCTCATTTGCAAAGACATCTTCAATCAGCCATTTACATTGGAAGCTACAGCTGATTTTCTGTTAACTTTCAGGTCAGCTGCTTTATTGGCAATATTGAAGTTATTTAGACTCTGTTTGTCTTCTTGGATATTATGATGGATTATGACAGTGTCATTGGTGAACTGAAAATGAATGATGTCAAGTTTGTGTCAAGTCTAATTTCATAGGCCTTGATTATTTTTAAGCATTTACCTTTGCGTGTATTTCTATGTCAAATGCATTTTCATAATGAGTGACCTTAAGTATGTATGAGAGGTATGTGAATATCTTTTATTTGTTCTATCAGCAAGTTAATTGTGTGAAGAAGTCAATGGTTGAGTATCCTTTGCAAAAACTAGGTTACTTTCATGAATGATGTCCATCTAAATTTTTCCTCTATTTTGTTCCGTATAACTTGAGTAAAGAACTTGTAAACCAAAGAAAGAAGAGAGATTTGGCAGTAGTTAACAGGGTTTTCTAGGTTGTCTTGTTTGAATATTAGAAACAAAGTTTTCCATAGTTCAGGACGATCATTCATATGTTCATATCATTCATAGGAGCCATGGTGGTGCAGTGGTTAGAATCAGTGGTGGGATTCAGCCAGTTCGCACCAGTTCGGGAGAACCGGTTGTTAACTTTCTGAGCAGTTTGGTGAACTGGTTGTTGGAAGAAATCATTAGGGCAGAGAACCGGTTGTTAAATTATTTGAATCCCACCACTGGTTAGAATGCAGTATTGCAGGCTAACTTTGCCATAGCCACGAGTTTGATCCTGACTGGCTCAAGGTTGATTCAGTTTTCCTTCCTTCTGAGGTCAGTAAAATGAGGACCCAGATTGTTGGGGGGAAATATGCTGACATTGTAAACTGCTTAGAGAGTGCTATAAAGCATTAGGATGCACTATATAAATCTAAATGCTATTGCTATTTAGGCAGTCATTCAAGACTTCAGTCAGCTGTTTTGCTTGGGATTCTCTACAACTTTCTCAATTTATAAAGTGATACCATTCTAGCCCTGAGGCTTTTCCTGATTGGTCTGTCAAATTGCATGGTGAACCTAATCTGAATTGATTTTTGATACTGTTGAAAAATTCATCTAAATGTTAGTTTGGGAGATGGATATTTTAAGACAAAGAGGTCACAGTAAAGATGCTGGTGTTCTTTGTCAATTTCTCCTCAGTTAGATAATAATAATAATAATAATAATAATAATAATAATAATAATAATAATAACAACAACAACAACAACAACAACAACAACAACAACAAAAGAATTCAGCCAAGACATTGGTATGCAGTTTGGAATTGACAAATGTGCAACAATAGCAACCAAAGCAGGCAAGATCATAGAAGAGGATGGAATAGAACTAGAGAATGAAGAAATGATAAAGGCAGTAAAATCAGAAGAAGGCTACAAGTACTTGGGGATTTTAGAAGCCTCTGACTTAATGCATAATAAAGTCAAGGAATTAACTTCAGCCAAGTACATTCGACAAATTCGTAAGATATTAATGTCCAAATTGAGTGGAGGAAACATCATAAAAGCCATAAATACCTGGGCTATACCTGTGATTAGATACTCTGCAGGAATAATTGACTGGACCCAGATGGAGTTAGACAATTTGGACAGAAAAACAAGGAAGCTTATGACAATGAATCATGCCTTGCACCAGGGCCGGATTTTCCTATAGGCTAACTAGGCTTCAGCCTAGGGCCTCAAGATCAAGACGGGGCCTCAAGATCAAGATGGGCCTACATTCAAATTGTTAGCAAAATTAAAATTACACTTGCACTATAGGTGAAAGGGCCTCATAAGTGGAATAGCCTAGGGCCTCTTTTCATCTAAATCCGGCCCTGCCTTGCACCCTAAAAGTGATGTTGACCGATTATATTTACCAAGAGCAGAGGGTGGTCGAGGACTCCTACAAGTAAAGCAGACTGTGGAAGAAGAAAAATGCAGCTTGAATGGTTACATCCAGAAAAGTGAAGAACCAATGATTAAGGAAGTAAATAAAGGAGGCCTTTTAAAGACAACTAAAACAAAAGCAGAATATAAGAAAGAAGTAATTGAGCAGCGAGCTGAAAATTGGAAACACAAAGCTCTGCATGGCCAATACTTGAAAAGTATTGAAGGCAAAGCTGACCAGAAACTAACTTGGAACTGGTTAAGATCAGGAGTACTGAAAAAAGAAACAGAAAGCTTTATTTTGGCAGCTCAAGAACAAGCCCTAGCCACAAACTGTATGAAGGCAAAAATTCAACATGTTACCACCAACAGCAAATGCCGCCTCTGCAATGAAAAAGAAGAGACAGTCGACCACCTGATCAGTGGGTGCAGCAAAATTTCACAAACTGACTACCTACAACGCCATGACCGTGTTGCTAAAATCATTCACTGGAAATTGTGCCAGAAGTTTGGATTTGAGTACAGCAAAAACCACTGGGAACATCAGGTTGAGAAAGTTTTAGAGAATGAGAAACTCAAGATCTTGTGGGACTTTAGGATTCAGACTGACAGGCACTTGGTCCACAACACACCTGACATAACAATAGTTGAAAAGAAAAAAGTATGGTTCATTGACATTGCAATACCTGGTGATGCATGAATTGAAGATAAGCAGCAAGAAAAAATCACAAAGTACCGGGACTTACAAATTGAAGTTGAGCGACTGTGGAAAAAGAAATCGTGTGTTGTCCCGATTGTAATTGGAGCCCTCGGAGCAATACCCAAAGGGCTACCCCGCTATTTAGAAATTCTAAATTTGCCGGACTTGAACATTTTGACTCTACAAAAAACCACCTTACTCGGAACAGCTTACATCCTCCGACGATACCTTAACAGTTCCTAGGTCCTTGGTTAGGACTCGAGCTGCTGAGCTATTAACCAGCCTCAAAGGCTGTGAATCTCACTAAAGATTAACCAATTAATAATAATAATAATAATAATAATAATAATAATAATAATAATAATTTTATTTCTATACCGCCCTTCTCCCGAAGGACTCAGGGCGCCCCCCCCTTTCAGTTACTTCCAGTATGTTTTCATGCTGCTTTTGGCCTCAGCTGCTTTCATGAATTGTTGTCTGTTGTAAATTTCATAGTCATCTTCTAGCTGTCATCTTATTTTGTGGTTCAGCTCAAATGTTTTTCCCCTTTGAATGCCTTCCTCTTCTCTCTTCACATGAAATTCTGTTTACTGTATTTCAGTTTTTAATGTTAAATTACATTTGCATTAAATATATATTTATGTATTGTGTTTATTTTTAAATGAATTGAATTCTAATTAATTCCATTCATTTCATCTAAAAATAAATTTGACAAATTCACCCAACACACTAAGTGAACTGAAATTAATTGCAAGTATTATTGCTATTTATTATTTTCTAGTTTATATAATTGGAAGGGAAGGTAGTCTTTCTCCCAAATAAAAATAGGATTGCTGTACCAAAAAGTTCAGATGCCTCTGCCTTAGATAGCTGAAAAGCTGCATTATACATGTAGAGCTGTCATTTTAAGAACTCCTTGCTCCTTTCTGCTTCTTGTTATGTGTTGCCTAAAGATTGCTGGCTCACTTGATTTTCTTTTGATGCAATATATTGGTTAACAATGCCAAAAAATTGGCATGGGCATTCCCCCTCCTTTTAAATATTATTGGCTATGTTTTCTGACAAAGAAAGTTAGTCTACAAAGGGACAGCAGAACAAATAAAATACAGACTCGGTGGAATTCACAGCAATGATTTATCCATTTATAAAAGCTGCAAAACATAACAGATTGTGCTTTTAGTAGCTGGAACAATATATGCTCAAAATCTTGCACCCAAGAATGCTAACCTGAACATCTATCCATAACTGTATATTTAAGGTTCAGATGTCTACCTTCAAACATGAATGAATGGCAATAATTATTGGAAAATTGTATCTCCAAATTTTGGGGATGTTTGATCTCTTACCTACAAATAATATGTGAAATGTATCTCATCTATAACCTTATATTGCCTTAACTGAACTCAGTAATTAAAATCTGCATCAGGACTACACATTCTCCTGCTGATTTTTAATGAAGTCATTTCAGAACTATTAAGTAAACTGATAATATCACTGCTGCGTTTAACCAATAGCTATGAGCTCCAAGAAAGGAACTTGCAAGTAAAGAACAGGGAGATAAAATCATAGGCAAGCTAGTTTGGGTATTTATTAATTCAAGGGACATTTTAATGTTTGAAAAAATCCCAGTGTAAAATAGTGAGAAAGTATGTAATCAGCAGAAGTCATGACTGTAAAAAAAGCAGCTGGTGAAAGCTGTTCCAAGAAATGACTCTTATTATGGACATCTGGCAACAGACATTTATATATGACTGGAGACTAATTTTAGTCTTTGCAATATTAAATTGCCAAAACAGAGGGGATATAGAGCTGAGGTAATAGGAAAAGGAAATTTCTCCAAAACAATTTGTTTTTCATTGCTGCACAAAACTAAATTCATACAATTAACAAAAAGGAAGCAGTAAAATATTCATCTGATCTCCTGGTTGCCATGTAAAGACCTTCCTTCCTTCCTTCCTTCCTTCCTTCCTTCCTTCCTTCCTTCCTCTCTCTCTCTTTCTTTCCTTCCTTCCTTCCTTCCTTCTTTCCTTTCTTCCTTTCTCTTCTTCTCCTCCCCCTCCCCCCTCTCTCTATCCCTCTAGTAAATCAAAAGGTATGTGATCCTTTTCAAAAAAGGGTCAGTTGGAAGTGTTCCCCCCCCCAGATCACATTGCCTATTTTGAAACAGCCTGGTTATTCAAAATGAGGTGCGTTTTCCTGATAAACAACAGTTTCAAAAAGGTTCAAAAATAAGAGAGACCTTATATCTGAGCATGATTTTGGCAGACAGAAACAAAACACCTTTCATTCTGAGTCCATTACATCATTCCTGTCCATCAGGGCAATTTAACCCACCATCGGGACAATAATAGATTGATAAGCACTTCTATTAGGATGGAAAACTTTGATGGAACTCTTGGAATATATACACCACAATCTTAACCAGACTGAATACTAGTCATTACATGTCTCCAGGGACTTGGTTGTCCCCAGGGAACCTGGGAAATGTTATACTGGATGGGAAGGTAAAGAACTTTAGTAAAAAAAAAATGCTCAATATGCTCATCTAGTTGTATTTTCTAGCTTTTTTTTAGGGAAGCCATAGCAACTGTGCCGTCTGCTATAAAATCAATACAAGTGTGATGTGCAGACAATGCCCAGTGAAAATCCATATTTAGAGGAAAAAATATGCACAAATTGACAAGACAGCTCTGAGCATGGTTTGGGGAGATAAATGCTTCTACTAGTAACTATAGGGGATTTAGTTACCTTAATTACTGATGATCCACTATTGTCAATCTTCAATCCACAAAAGGGGATTCTGCTTCTAGCCTCTGCTTGAATGCAGCTTGGATTTTGTTCCTTGGACAGCACACATACAAAATAGAAGGAGACACAATCACACAAACACTAGTGGGTTGCCTCATTTGTCCCTACAGGATAAACTAAAGTGTTCAGGACTCAACTATGATTATTGAATTACCTACTTTTGAAATAAATTCACAATTGGTAATAGTTCTAGCAGCATTACAATCATGTTGGACACAGTGAACCTTGCTGTTGATGATGAGCCATTGCTTTATTCACATACAAAAGCCACTACATCACATGGAATTTGTAAATAGCATGTATCTTGATAAGGAGAAGTGTAGTTTGGAGAGTTAAGCATGCCTATGATTTTCTGGTGCTCTATTATCATGGATTGTATTTGATGTAGATTGTCTGGAATTCCGGTAGTCGTTATAGAAGTTTCAGGAAAGTAGAGGTAGAAAAGTCTATTTCTGACTCTGGTGTCCTTTGTAGAACAATCACAACAAACAGCATTTTTAAGGACTCATTATATAAATAGATATCTTTCTTGCATCTTCCTAATTTCTGATTACAGCAATGTGTGAATGCAGTAGGACAAAACCAAAGAAAAATGTATCTTCCTTACAATATGGAAAATTTGGTATCCTTTCATCAGGATGTGTTCTACAACTTCAAGATCCGTACATAGCACTTCAAATATTAGAGCCATCCTCATCGTCAGCCCTTTGAGGTAGGCCAAGTCAACAAACATGTTTCTACAAAGACTACTGGAATTCTGTATTTGGAGGTTATAATAACAGAATCTTGAAAATCTGACAGTTTCTTTCACTTTCTCCTCTTGTGCAGAAAAGAATCAAGGCAGGGCAATCTTGGGCTTCCTTTTCACCCCTTCTCTTTTATGATTAAGTTGGTATTTTCATAATTGCTCTTGTATTTCTTCTTCAAGTCTGTCTCCTTAGTCTTCTACACTCAATAGTTGTCCAAAACTTGTTGACTTTCACTCTTCCATGTACAGTCAGCAGTAGATTTATACCGACCAATTCCAATTATTCAAAGCTGTTTTCAAGTAAGAAAACACTCTAAAGCAGGGGTGTCAAACTCGAATTCATTGAGGGCTGCATCAGGGTTGTGTTTGACCTTGGGGGGAGGGGACAGGGGGATGTGGCCAAGGGGGCATGGCCAGCTCGACGTCACTCTTGTCGGGGGCACCTGTGGTGACCTGAGTGCTCTGCCAGTGAAAATGGGCTCCCGAGTTCCTGCAACATTCTACCAGCAAAAATGGAGTTTGGGAGGGCTGCCAGCGGCCCTCTCGAGCTCTATTTTTGCTGGCAGAGTTACCATGGACTGGTTCTTTGTTGTTTCCAGGGCAGCCCCCAGGCCAGATCTAAGCATCCTATGGGCTGGATCCAGCCCCAAAGCCTTGGGTTTGACACCCCTGCTCTAAAGGCATGGCTTGATAGATATTCTATCTATATTTGATTTAGATATTCGTTTTTTTCATGAATTGCTATTTCTGGGCTCATATTAGATCTCAAACATGCAGCCTTCCATTCCCGAATGGCCAAAAGATGGGGATGGGATATCATTGGTAGAACAGTCAATATAATTCATCTCCTGCAACATCAGCATTCAGATGTTTTAGGAAATGACCAGGGAAGACCATACCTGTTTTCTACTGGCAGTGTCCCATGTTTCTAGTTATGCATTATAACATTGACCTGGAAAAACAATAAAATCTCATATAGATCTTACCTTGAGGTATTATTAGTAGCAATCTTTACTTAAAATAGCAACATGGGTCATTTGACAGATAAGACGCATCTTCTCACCTGAACCAATCTACCCTTTCCTGCACAAGATGGCAATGTTCAAATCAGATGCACTGTTGCCTAGTGACACTGGCTCCGTAATCAGGAACAATTGTTCTTGAAGGCTGGGGTACAACAGGGCTATTTGCACGAAACACTCATGCTGATTTCTTTGCTTTTTTTGTTTTCAAATGGCACCTGTTTTACTGTCTTAATGTGATTAATAATGGCGATATATGTTGCTCCACTTGGGCAAGCAGATCTGGCATCCAAGCTTGAGAGGTTCTTGGAAACTCAAAGTTGAATTTAGTGATTTCAGTGCAGATAGGAGAAGGCGGCACTCAGGAAAGAGAATGAGGTTGCAATTGTTTTCTTCAGTGGATTTCTGAGGAAGCCTTTTTTTAAATACCGAATCAATCTGGATTAGCAAGTACCTTTTTATGTTTAAGAAAAAGCTTTCATTCTGATAAACAGAATGGAAACATTTTGAAAAACGGTTATTCCAGATGTTGAGGGGTTTGACATCAAGGGCCATCTGTTGATGTTATCACTTCACCAGACATGGCTATTTTTTTGGGGGGGGTGTTAGTTGGGGTAAGAGCAGGAGATCCCTCAGGGGAAAATTGCTCCCATTTTCATTCTTTAAACCCACCCAGAGTGAAAAATTGTCTGCTCTGTGGGCCAGGGTTTCATTCTGGAGATGGGAGCAGATGGAAAAATGGAAATAATATCACCACTGTTAAACCCATCTCCCAAAAGAGGTCAAACGGTGCTGTTGAAATCTGCTAAATATTGGCTTAGTTGTTTGGGAATGGCCTAACCATAATGTTAGTGAAATTCATGTTGTAACACGCATTCTGCCCTTTTGCAGTTATACTACTATGCGCACACACACAAATACATAAGGGGAGAAATTCATGATGTCATTCTGTGGTGACACAGATTTCGCCACTTGTCCTCCTTTCTGCCTATGGGGTGTGTGGTGTGTGTGTGTGTGTGTGTGTGTGTGTGTGTTGGGGAGAAATGGGTTGCAGAGAATCTCCATGAAAAGCAAAGGCTGCAGTTTGCCAGCTCAATGTTATTCTCTTCAGAGAAAAGTAAAGTACTAAATTACATCATATTGATTAGCCATAAGGCAAGAAAGTGCTACGAGTTGTATAAAGCCAGGAAATGTTAAATGAAATCTCTTATTTTTTCAGTATTATTACTCTGGGTCTCAGTCTGGTGAACCATAAATTTGACAAATTAGCTGTCCTGAGGTTCATAAATATTTTAGCCATAATTGCTAAGGAAAATAATATAAAACATTAAAAAGTAGGGAAGTGAATATTGAAATGAAGGCAGGGGAACAGAGCCATGCATGTAACATCTGCTTTTTTTTTTTTTTTTTCCAATTTACAGGCTCTAAAGCAGTCTTCTCAATTTGCAGATCTGGTGATTGTTCTAAATATTTTATTTCTGTAAAACAGTGGAGTCAAAAGCCATGAGATTGCTGAATGTTCAATTGTTCAGTAATTAATGCCACAGGTGCTGCTTTGTTTGGTACTTTTGAATTTTCCCACAATTTGTCTTAATGGAGAAAAAGATACCTGGAACCTGGAACAAATGTGTAACTATCAGGCTTTTAAAGCATTGCATTTAGATCTTTCGTGAGATTCAAAAAGCAGACATAATTGCAATGTTTGTTATGAGTATATCCATATCATATAAAAAGAGGGAAAGAGTGATTGGGAGAGAAAATGGGAATTTGCCTGAACTGTGTAATAATTTTATTCATTAAATGAATGGTGATGACTGAAATACATATTACATGTCTATTAACAAATTAATGAATGGTAATATTTTGATACTTGTTCTACTGCAAAATGGCAGAGGATATGTTGATTATACAGCAGTACTAGAAAAAATAACCAGCTATATTTAAAAGATTACTGAAAACCAAATGATGTGTCCTCATCTAAAATGGACATGTCTGTCTAGTCACTAGGATCTAGATGTGATTTAAGGAAAATTTACCCACTCTACTTTTTTTTAGCTTTGCCTTTAGTTAGTATCATATCCTGAATCTGGAAAATGAATCTGACTGGATAGGAATGTGTAACCTTTTCTTGGTTAGAAGGAAAAACAGGTTGAAGAAACCCAGAGTAATGTTCTCTGAGTGAAACAAGCTATGTTCCAGAGCAAGACAGTAATATACATAAATTCTGCATTGCATACTTGGCAAAAAGCTCAACACAAATTTTCATAGCCCCACATGATCCCTAACCAATATGAAACAGAGCTCCTGTTCAGACTTACACTCTGAACAGTGCTGGCTACTATACAAACTAAAGATAAATCCTCTTTCTATTTACTCCTTTGTGGGATAAAATATCATTACCTGCAGCACATTTACAGATACAAATACAGTCCTACTTGCCTTCTCATTCAAAATTTCTTTCTTTCTTTCTTTCTTTCTTTCTTTCTTTCTTTCTTTCTTTCTTTCTTTCTCTTTCTCTCTCTCTCTTTCTTTTTCCCTCCCTCCCTCCATGCTTCCCTGTTTTATTTGAGCTTCAGATTAGTCTTTACAATCTATTTGTTATGCTAGAATTCAGGCCTGTGTTCTTGCCTGCAATAATACTGTACTATTTGATCCCCAATAATAAGATTAAGAAAGGAGAAACTTTCAGAAGGCATGATTATAGACAATCTTCTCAGCACTGACATCTTGCTTTTAAAATAACTCCTGCTTTTCATTGGGAAGGCTCTCTTCTGTGCCCCATTAACATCAGACCTATCACTATTATTACTGAAATCTACTTTGTACGTGGTTCTTCTGGCCTAATTTTCTGGGCTGGGGAAACAGCACAACACATCTTTTTCCATGTTGCTACACGTCTGTTTGCCATTAAGTTTATCTTTTTCCCTAAGGTACTGTCTGCCAGATGATGGTCTTTTTGCTGCTCCATTAAGACATGTCCTATGCCTCCCATCAATCTTTCTCTCTGACATACTCATGTTATATTTATCTTATTTTGCATTTTCAGTGTTCGCTGCACTGAATGACCTGAGATGGCACAATAAATTATCTCAGGCAATGAGTCACTTCTATTGACTGGGGAGATTCACATAGCTCAGACTTCATCCAAAGCTGCCACCATATGCTGATGACACGGTATATTTTCTGACATTCACAGAATTCAGAAATGAAATGCCATATGTTGTTAGAATCGAGCTGGAGATTTGGGAGTGGAAGTTCTTGAACAAGGACAAAGAAACAAATGTACCGAACAACACTTACAACCTTTGAGTTGTATTTGATGGATTGCTACCAAAATACCTTAAAACTGTATCTGAAGAGTATATGCAATATGATAGCCTTTGTTCCAGATGAAAGTGATATTGCGTTTTAACCATCTATCATACTTTAAATGACTGTCTCCTTTAATAATCTCTTTTCCTATTTTTAGAAGTATTTTTTAAAAAATTTCTTCCAGTGAGTCCAGATGGCATTCGGACCTCTTTGCCCTGCACTAATAATCCAGTCATCCCTCTCCCAGTCTACTGACTCATCTTTTGTGGCACCATCCAATCCTAGATTACCCGATAGTCATCCAGAAGCCATATTTTTAGCCCACAAACTGAACTGCCACAAGGAGACTGTCAATTTTATCCTTTTTATTCCTACCATTTATTTATTTTTTCCCCTTTGCAATGACAATATCAGGATAACCCTACTGTGGACATTTTCAAGAAAACTATACTTTCTCCATCAGTTACTGTCCTCTTTTCACTCTTGAACACCGAAATAACTGTAAAGTTGGAATCTCTAGAAAACCTTTTGATGCCTCTGCAGACCCTTGTCTAGAACATAGAAGTTGAAAAGATCAGTTCATGTAGCATAACACAAGAACAATTGACCAGAGGAATAAAATATAACGCAGACCTTAAAGAAACTAAACTTTTTAAGGATTTAGACCTGTCTTTGTACTAATTGGCTGAACTCATTAACTTTGATTTAGAATTCACATTACCGTCAATCCATGGTTGACTCAGTTATTAAGGAAAAGAGCCAATGGGATTTTCCTTTTCTGTATCTATACAATAAGAACTCTTCAAAAAACACAAAACTAAAGGAGAGTTTCTAGAGCCCAAAGGCCTCAGGCTTTGGTTGCTCAAGCCAAAACCTGGGGTCTAAGAAGAAGCTCACAGGCCATGGCCTATATTTGGCTGCCTCTTATTCTGCAATCCCAGAATCCTCCTCATCCCCTAACTGTACCATCAGAATTCAGTAGCAAACCAACAAATAATTTTGTTGCAGTACATAGGAAACAAGAGAAAAGTATGTTATTATGGAGGCTTAAAACATCTATTTTCATTTATACCTCAACTCAAAACCTAAGGATAAGGCTGTGCAGTGCTTCAGATTGGAAGGCAAAAGGTAGTTCAGAGTGTGCAGGGTAACAAATCAGTGGTGGGTTGCCCCGGTTCTATAGAACCGGTGGGAAGCTCCGCCCGACGTCATCAAAATGCTTCTGTTCATGCGCAGAAGAATGCGTGCACGCATGAGCGAAGCAAGCATGTGCGCACACAGCCCCGTTGCAAACCGGTAGTTAAGGTAAGTAGAACCCACCCCTGTAACAAATGTAATACTCACTGCAACTTCTGAAAGTAGCTGCCTCTTTTCCTGGCATTATGCACTGCAGCTGCAGCTGCCCCAGGAAAAGGTATGTTTGATTGTAAGCAGGTTGTAAGCGGGTCATCCATATACATTTTGGCATGTTATGTTTGTCTTTGAATTTGAAATAGTGAGTGTGGCATTAGGTCGCTGACATCCCTTTTAAAACTTTCAAGTCCTAGAAAATAATCTAAAGCAGAATCCTGAACTGCAAAATGGGTGTCCCCACCAAGTGGAACCTATGATTTCTGCTTGAACCAAGTTTATAACTTTGATCCTGTTCATTTGTGCAGCATTGTTATTGGTGTATGTTCAGCCTATATTTGGAAAGGCTTTTCAGTACTGGCAGTTTTAGTTTATTCTCAAAACCGTGTTTTCTCGAAAATAAGACCCTGTCTTATATTTTTTTGATCCCTGAAATAAGCTCTTGGCCTTTATTGCCAGGCGCTCAAAAGCCCGATTGGGCTTATTATTAGAGGATGTCTTATTTTGGGGAAAACAGGGTAGTCTCAGTTTACAACCTCAGCAGAATATAACAGGTAATAGATTAAATAAACTAAAACAAACACAGTTGCAATCTTTATGCTGATTGACATTGCTAACCAATGTCAGCAGAACCCATTTGATGGGGAGGTGATATACCGGTAGTATATCTGATGGATAAGAGTCCAGTATTTCTGTTCTCATTACAATATTGGAAATTCAACTCTCGCTCAAAACTTTTCAATTGAAAGAGCTGTTGCGCATAATTTCTTTTCACACTTTAAGGACTAAAATCAGCATCAACATACTGCTAGCTCATATGAAGAAAAGGGCCAAATTTCAAAATTCATACTTCAAAATTGTTCTTCCTAAATTTCAGGTTCTCTTAGGAAAGCAGTTTGAGGGTGTCAGCTTTTGAGTGGAAAATTAGAAAAAGAAATAAGGAGTGTTCTGTCCTCCTACTGTTTCATTTTCTTTCTTTTTTAATTTTTACTGAAACACGCAGAAATCAGCAATGTACTGATAATAAAAAAGATTAGAATAGGAAAAAGTAAACGAGAAGCACACAAACTCAAAACAACACAGCTATTGATTTGTAATAATTAAGAGATAAAATGTTAAACATTTAAAACAAATTCTTGTTAAAAGCCAAACTTGACCCCTGGTGAGTTCATGTGAATTTCCTTTAAGGCAAGGGTGTCAAACTCACGGCCCGTGGGCCGGATGTGTCATGTGCTGGCCACGTCCACCCCTAGTTTAGCAAAGGGGAAAAAGTCACAAAATGTCACGTGATGACAATGTGACACTGCAAGTTTGACACCCCTGCTTTCGGGGGTTTTGCAACAGGATGAAAACAATTATCCTTTGATTTCTGATTTATTTTTGCTTTACTTCCCAGTCTACCTTTAGGTCTGGTATTCTCAAGTAATCTTCTATCCATGAAATCATCAATGTAGCTATACTTGAAGATAATTTGGAAGAACTGCTTTGGAACCTGATAGCCTTTCTTACTTACCTGATGGCCTGATCGTACAGCAGAGAGGGAAAAACACAACTTTAGATGCAGAGCAAAAATACCTAAATAGATATTGCTTTCCCAACATTATAGGGGAGGATGATGTCATTTATTCTTGCCCTCTTACCTGATAGACAGCTGGTCCTCACACTGGGTGGGCTGCAAGCTTAGAAATGTTTTCTTGAGAATGAGCCAAATCAAATCAAATCAACTTGCAGGTGTGTTGCAGTAGCTTGCTCTCTTTTAAGAGGGAAGTCAGTGAGAATGGGAGGAGGAAAGGATAGAGGGGAAAGAGGAAAATTGCAATTTCCCCCCTTCCAAGTAGATTGAAGTTTGCCACATCTAGATCAGGGGCGGGTTTCAAAACCCGTCGCTACAGGTTCGCTCGTGGGCACGCATGCACATGCAATGCGCAGAAGCATCTGGGCGGGTGGGTGGAGCCTCCCGCCGTTGCCGCTAGTGGTTCACCCAATCCGGGGCGAACTGGTAGCAACCCACCACTGATCTAGAGAAGATTAGATATAATGATGTCAGCAACCTCCTGCTATTATATGTGGTGGTAGGAAGGTCTTTTCAATCCTGCCACCAAGAATGCTGATGAACCACATGGGATGTTTTGTATTCCTGACTAAATACTATTCCAAGCAAAGTTACTAAGTGCTTACTCTTTCTGCTCCATTCCTTTACATCTTCAGTTACAGAGCAATATATTGAGGGCTGGGCAGGAAAGGAATATAAACAATTTTTTTAAAAAATTGCATGCTTCACTTTGCATTAAGTAAAGCAATTCCCTGTGGATTAAATAAAACAATGCCCTTTTGTTACAAGCATTAATCATGTCATCCTAGATTAAAGAAGCACCTGAATTGGTCATTGAACAATGGCCAAAAAAAAAAAAAAAAAAAGTTTGAATTGGGATTCATAATAAGAAGTGTAGCAACAAGGAGGACTGCTGGTTTACTAAAAGTCTGGGCTAAATAGCATCTATATGGAAAAGGTGACGTGTTATTTAATATGAGAAGCTGAGGGATACAATAATACTGCTGTGCTCATAGAAGTTCAGTATGCTTGGACTTACTCGAAATGAGATTAACAATGTATTTAAAGTAATTAATAGTATTCCTGTTTTCTTTTAGTCTTCCGCATGTTCTTTTTTTAAATCATTATTACTGCTAAAGGACTGAAATCAAAGAGACAAAATCAACTGAGGTTTTTTTCTATTCTTCCCTAACAAGTGCTTTCCTATCCACAGCTGAAGAAAGAGATTGAGGTCCATATGATGTCATTCCCAACAACTACAAGATGAATTCATTTGAGGCAATTTATCTTGCCTTATGGTAGGAGTAAACTTGACCTTGATGTTTTGGACACTCCAGCATGATCAATGGCAAAGGATTCTGGGCAATATAAGTTAAAAAGACTGGCTGGGTAGTACATTATCTATTCTTATCCTGTAGGTATCATTTTACTTCAGACCAAGAGACAACTTTTTTTAGATTAAAAATCCCCTGATACCTATGACAGATATTTAGGAAATTGCAACATGAAAAACAACTTGAAGAGCTAAAGTATAACTATAAACTTATATTATTTTCCTTTTTTGTGTGACCTTTTATAAAGGAAGTATAAAAGACAATATTATTTTGATTTTTGTGGAAAAATGCCGCTGATCGTCAGCAGAGAGCTGGCTGGCACAAGGGAGGATGCTTCTCTTTATATTCATACCTGTAATTGCACTTAACGTTTGAAATAATGGAATAAAGCTATACAGTAGAAATTGATTGTAATTTGCATTTACAGCATCCATTACCATGCCCCTTGTATTTTCCTTATGTATATGTATTGTTCAAGATTATATTAATTGAGAAGCCTAGAAAGACTGGAAAAAATTCCGGGAAAATTGACAGCGCAAAATCAGAAGAGTTCACTATCTGTGAATATGCGATATTTAGTAATATCTTTATTTGGAGAAAGGAATACAAAATAAACAGCAAGTAGAGGACGGAAAATAGATTCCAAATTGCAGTAAAGCAGACCAACTAACTTGTGCATTGACGGCCTCATATGATCTTGCCAGCAACCTATTAGTGTCCCTGGAGTTCACCAGAGTAAATGGGACTAACATTTGAGTTCCGTTTTGCATGAGGGAGGGGGACTTGAGTGAATCAAATGGCTGCCCTAAGCTTTGCCAATGCTTAGGAAATCCATTGCAGCCCTCAAAATCTCTGATTTCTCCAAACCTTCTTTTGTCTATTTGAAGGGATTTAAAGAGTAGAATGGATGTCTGAAGTCTCTATAATGCTTAAGATACCAATGCTACTTCAACGAGACTTAAAAGCATCAATATGGTCTCTAAGCCCAAACACACACATCCCCCCCCCACACACCCCTATGTCATCAGCCATCTCTGTGTACATTTCATGCAGAGTAGAAAAATATAATATGGCTTTCAGCCCCCAAAATTCTTATTCTGCAGTAAGAATGTGTGGGATGCTTCTCTTTTGGCATTGCTGTTCTTATTACAACATTGACAAATTTACAAATAAATTGCCTGGAAGAAAAGATCTCAGTGATCTTTTTTTCCCCCCAGAAAGATTGATGATCATTCTAGAGAGACAGTAGCGGTAGACACCCTGATTATAAATTGTTATTCATTTTTTATATTTACAAGGAAATCTTGATTTTTTTCCTCAACAGTAATTTGGCCTAGCAATAGGAGTATATTTGTGTATGTATAGGCTAAATGAATCTTGAGAAAAATTGCACACATATGCACATTCACACATATATAGGTATGGATTATAATGTATGTAATAGCAGTGTCTTATTTTCTTATTTGTGATGGTTATAATATATTTTAATTAAAAGTTTTTTTCCCAAAAAATAGCACATCTGGTGTTAAAATCGGTAGTTAATTAATGAACATATTTCCTAATGATTAATTGCTGCATAACTATTACAAGGAATTGTTAATTTTAAAGTTGTTGCCTACCTCAGGTATTTTTCCAGAGTGGGCTTTACCTTATTTATGGCTTTTCTTTATTGCTTAATTAATCATGTCTTCTACACATTTCACTAGACTGTGAAATCAAATTCATACTGCAAAAAAAAAAATCATGCATATAATATTTAAATAATGGAAATCACCCGAAATCCAAATCATAGCATAAAATCATTTTCAAAACAATCTTAAATTCCAAGAACAGGAAAGATCAATTAGTTTCAAGTTCTAAATTGCAATGCAACAAAATCGAAATGGCCTGGCCTCTTCTTTGTGTTGTTGTGTGTACTTGTCCTATGCTGTGACAACTCTTTCTCCAAGACATGATCAATGTAATCTTATCTATTTTGGTATCCTATCTGGTGTGTTGGGACAACATCACCAATTCCTTGCGTAGTTATTGTTCTGGTATATACAAAGATGGCCAAACTGGGGAAGGTGGCATAATTGTTAATAATGTTGGTGAGCATGGCTTATTAATTCTTTTTTAGACTATTTCTCTAAAACCAGCCAGTCTTCTCAGGAATACAAAAGTTGGACTGCAGTTATGAGGCTTTTTAACTTAGCAGCAAGCCAGAAATACATGTCACAAGGCAAAATGGTGCACACTTTTTTCCCCCTTTCAATGTTAATTTTCATCATTGCATCATAAATACTATGCTTGAGAGTTCTTGAATGATGAAGGAGAGTTATGAGGGTTTGAGTCTGTGCTTTTCAGCCTTTCTAATAAATCAAATTAGTGCATGTTGCCAAGAATCATCAAGGAAACAAAGTGTAGCAGGCATTTTGTGGAGAGAAAAATCTTTTTCTCTTTTTAAGTTAAGGCCTACTTCATTTAATAACAGGCTTCCACTGAAGTCAGAGTGTCTGGATGTCTTTGAAAGCAATGGATTGATTGTGTTGCTGTGCCTGCTGTCTCCTTATTGACTGGCAGCCTGTCGCTTTTTGAAGGCAGAGCTGGCATTTACCATCTGTGCACTTTGAGACTGGCCCTGCTTAAAGCAGACAAAGCGGTAGCCTCCCCTATCCATTTTATTAACAATAAGAGCTAAGTGTAGGTCTGTGTGCATTAGCAATAGTTGTCATAACTAAGGGGCAATAGAGAAACAATAGGGAAGTTAAAGGAAAAATTACTTTGGGCATTAGGGATCTTAAGATCAGACTTTTCTAATCTGGCCAGTCTATTATTAAATAGAGAATGAATTGATAGTACAAAATGTGATAGCTATAAGAATGAAAATGTAAAATTTTATCTTGCTTGTAGCTAGAGCTGCGCATTCTAGGGGGAGGGGGTGCCAAAGGAGAGATACAGAGCAAATAGCTACCATAAAACATTAAAAGACCACCCTTCCCTTTGTTGCAAGTATAATGTCACATGGGGTACAGGGTTATCCATGGAGAGGGAGTATCTCAAAAAAAGTCAAGATGGGAATCTCTTATCGTGCAACAAAACCCCACATGTAAAGAAAAAGAAAAAAGGTGGGGCTTCAACCATTACCACCACCTTGTCACTCACCAGGTCCTGCAGGGTCCTTGCAGGCTTCCTTTGAGTAAACTGTGAGACGTTAACAACATTCTTCACATTAAGTTTTCTCTTTTTTTCACAGCCAACTCCACTTCTATTATTTTAAATGACTAATGTTACAAATTCAGCTGAATTTTGTTATTTTTGAATAGAGCTAGGGGCCAGTGGTGACATCCAAATTTTTTAACTACTGGTACTGTGGGCGTGGCTTGGGCGTGGTGTGGCTTGGTGGGCATGGCAGGGGAAGGATACTGCAAAATCTCCATTCCCTCCCCACTCCAGGGGGAAGGATATTGCAAAATCTCCATTCCCACCCCCCTTTGGGGCCAGCCAGTGGTGGTATTTTCCGGTTCTCCAAACCAGTCAAAATTTCCGCTACTGGTTCTCTGAACTGCTCAAAAATTCCACTACCGGTTCTCCAGAACCTGTCAGAACCTGCTGGATTTCACCCCTGCTAGGGGCCTGGTTCAGTAGAAGAGCTTTTATTCATTCATCACTCACTTATTCACTCACTCATTCAATATTCTTCATTTTTCTTTGGGAGTTCATTGCAGCATGTATAGCAATTTTTCTGCTCCAGTAAGGAAGGGTCCTTGTGAGATTATTTCTGATTAAGAGTAGGCTTAAATTGGTGGCAGCTTTAACCGTTGTGCCACTGTGAGAGAAAAATTCCCTCACAGTTGCTGTGCCTATTAATGGCTTTTGGCTTAGACAATTAAATAAGCCAATCAGAGAGAAGCTCCTGGCTTTGAATCTCCCAGGCTTTTCTATGCCCTCCCCTAACTGCCACTGTGACAGTATAAAAGGAGATGCTTGCCAGCAGACTTTCTCTTTGGGATCAGGGGCAGAGCTGAAGTCACTAAAGCCTCTTCCTTCTGAGGAAGAAAAGCCCGAACTCCAATCGCATAGAGCGATTACACCAGAGAGCTGACAGGACTCTTAAGAAAGAGAATGACATCTAATATTCTTTTTGAATAGACCTTGTTTTATTTTATGTAAATAAAAACAGTTTAGTGTAAACTGCTTGTGAGGCTCATTTGTTCTAGTAGATTGTAAAAGAGATAAGGCCCATCGAGGCCCCCCTCCATCACAGCCACAATATGAAATCTCTAGCATCCCCAATTCAGTGGCACTTGAGAAGGCAGCCAGTAAAGGTCTTTTTGTGGTCAAAGCACATGACCTTCAACTAGATGATCATTGACTCACAAGTTAATTTTGAATGCTCACTAGACAAACACTTATTTGTCATTTATAAATGAGGTTTAATTTATATATTATGTTTATTTTCTTTACACCAAGATTATGTTTTTACCTATACCTCTCTCTAATGCTTCTTGTATTTCTCAGTGAGAGTGTGAGCATTTTTATATGCTGTGACATCTTGATCTATTGGACAATCTACTGTCCTAGATACGATGGTGTAGTAGGAAAGAAAAATGAAGCAAACAATATTCCTGTAACCTAACACATTTGAGAAATTGTACTTAAGGGTAAAATGGAGGGAGGGAGAAGACAGAAAAATATGAGGCCCTGCATTGACTTACAAAATAGTGGTGATGGTTTTCTTACAGAAGTGATAGACAAATCTTCCTGCCTATTTTGACCTGGACAATGCATTATACCTTGGAAAGTGATATACCTGAGCAGTGTGTGAATGTTTCGTGGCCTATTTTCAATCATGTAAAGTGATGTCCTGTTTTTGATAAATGGAAACATTGGAGTTGATCTCCTATTGGAGCTTTTCAGTACTTTCAGCATTTCTGCTATCCTGTACCTCAAAAGAAGTTTTTAGTTCACCAGTGATGAAATTCAGTGCTGCTAACTTCAAAATACTGAGGAGACCATAATTGCTCTCTGCAATTGATGAGATAGCACAAATGACAGCATTCAATCAATACTCTGGCCTCCCATTCATTTTTTCTGTAAAGATTCAGTACTCTGGAGATTGAGCACTTTTAGTGAAAGGGAGTTGTAAAGCCACCAAGCTATTATCTCTTAGTTGCACGTAAAAGATCTGAAAAACATAATAGCTGAGCCTTTATGGGGTGTGTGTGTGCGGGGAAGGAGACTGGTAAGGGACCAGTAACTAGGAAGAAGCAAGAGTTCTCACATATTTGAGAAATTGGAGAATCAGATGGCTCACAAGTTCTGCAAAAAGTTTGTCTATAGTGCTGTTTTACATCCATCACTCTTGAATAGAAATAAACAGCTTAGTTGCTGAACACAGATGGTGCTGTGGGATTGTACAGATACAGAATGGATTTTAGACAATGCAAGGGATGTTTGAAGAAGATCCCTTTGTCTGGAGGTGGGGTTTGTAGACATTGATCAGAACAAAGCAGTTTTGACCACTGCTAAGTTACAGAGTTATAATAGTATATAAATATTTAAAATAAAGGCTTAGGTTGGGTGTGGTAGATAAAATCTTGTTAATAACAAATCCATTTAGCTTCTTGTGATGCTCATTATGAAGAACACAGGCTGACATCTAAAAGGTAGAACAATCAATTGGTTAAGTTTCTTGGTTGAAAGTCACATCCTGGCCAATCTGACCTGCATGTTCACAGGAAGATTCTGGTTCTGATAACTTGGATGAAAGGATGAAGGTATTAAGAGCTTGGCAGTGGGAATAATTGTTCTCTTAAGAATGTATAACTGGCAACTGAAATGGTCTCTGACAACTTTGTAGTGAAGATGCTCAGGTGCACAAAGAGAAACTAAGCCTGTTTGCAGCTAGCCTTTGTTAACATTTAAGAATCACTTTCATCTTGTTGTCATAAGCTTTTCCTGGTGCTGGTGGAATATTTTCTAAATGCACAGTAAAGATGATGATGATACTTTTATTCATTAAACATGAAACTCAGTCAACTGAACATTTAAAAATGTATCACAAATATTATTGTTTGGCACTGATGGTTGATACAGTTGCTGCCAGCATCCTAGGTATCGACCAAGTATCTTCTTAAAATGTATGATGTTCTGAGTAGCATAGTTTTTTGCAATTCTGCTGGTATTATTGTAGGAAGCTGTAATTTTTTAATGTATTTTGTAAAATTCTTGGACATAGTGCCAAGTGCCCCGATGACAATGGGTATCATTGTCACACGTTTCATCCATAATTGCATAGTTTTGATGGCCAGGGCGCGATATTTCATGATTTTTTCTAGTTCTTTTTCTTCGACTCTGGCGTCTCCTGGTACAGCGATATCAATAAATTGTACGCTTCAGTTTTCGACAACTGTGATATCTGGCATGTTGTGTTCTAAGTCCCACAAACTCTTCACCTTCTCATTTTCGACAACTTTTTCACTTTGTGTTCCCATGACTTTTCAGATACAGGTAAATTGTATTTTTACATAATGACCAGTGGATTAGTTTAGCATCTTGGTCATGTCTAGCTTTGTAATCAGTTTGCACGATTTTGCTGCACGCACATATTAAATGTGAAACAGTTTCAACTTTGTCATTGCAAAGTCGGCAATTTGGATTGTCAGTCGATTTTTGTATTTTAGCCTTCATGGTATTAGTTTGTAGTGTTTGTTCTTGTAATGTTTGTAGTATCTTGTAGTGAGTATTAAATCTGGATATTTGACAGTGTTACAGATATTGTCAAAGGATGGAAGCTGTTCCAAGTAAAGCCGCCTTCTGCAATGACTGATAGCAAATTTGTCAATGCCTATGGTGTTCAAATGGTGCTCCAGTTGTTTTGGGATTGCACCCAAGGCACCTACTACTACTACTACTACTACTATTACTGGATAATAATATCAGTAATATTATTATTACTGATAAATAAATATGGTATTTATTATGGTATGGTAATAAATTATGGTATTATGGTATGGTAATAAATATTTATTTATTATGTTAGTAAACATTTAATAATAGACTGTTGTGGCATTTTTCAAGAATGGCACCTTGTGTGGGAGGAGGAGAGTCTTGTATGCAGCATAAATGTTAATCTAATCTTCCCTGAATGATTTCTTGCTTCACCATTTTTCTTTTGCCTGTTGGGTAGCACGTGGTATTTCAGTGGGACAGATAATTCAGTTTTCCTAATCTCTCACTGGAGGCTAGCTATTCAAAAGAGCAGAAAAATATCACCAGAATTACCATTTTTTTCATAATGTGTGTTTACAGAAAATGTAAATTTACAAAATGTAGCATTGAACTTTGGTCAAGCACTATCTTCAGGTTTTAAATGCTAGTAATACTGCACATTTTAACCCAAGTGTACAACTGAAAGCATACAGTAAAGGCAGATATGCTTCTGTTGTATCTCTTTTTCATCCCTATCGCTTGATCCTGTTTTTTTAAAAATAGGATTTCTTCCTACAACAACATAGTTCACTAAGACCTTGTCAAGAACCTTTTAAAGTACTGCATAGTCCCATCTTCTACAGCTTGCAACAGCCTGGTAAGATAAATAGATATTATTGTCCCCATTCTGTAGCTAGAAAAAGCTAGGCTGAGAGGAACCATCTGTCCAAAGCATGTTTAAGTCTAGAGGTGAGGTGGAATGAGGGATTTCTGGATGCATAGTTCATCTCAGGATGGATGGGGAATTCCCCTGACAGATCTATGGCCAGAGTTAAATCTCCATTGGCTCCCTGGGATCTGGTTTGAAAGTGGGATTTTTACTCATTTCAGTAGAAGAGAATATATGTAGCTCAGGGTTCAGAGATCATCAAGGACTCCATAGTTTTAGTTCTTTATCTCCTTATTCTTCTTCTCCTCAATTTATAGTTGACCATCTACATTGATTCTAGGTGTGCTGTGATTGAGGTGAGTAGCAGTGGTGAAATCCAATTTTTTTTACTACTGATTCTGTGGGTGTGGCTTGGTGGACAAGGTGTGGTTTGGTGGGCATGGCTTGGTGAGCATGGGAGGGGAAGGATACTGCAAAATCTCCATTACCACCCCACTCCAGGGGAAGGATACTGCAAAATCCCCATTCCCTCCCCATTCCTGGGGGAAGGATATTGCAAAATCTCCATTCCCATCCCATTCTGGGGCCAGCCAGAGGTGGTATTTGCCGGTTCTCCGAACTACTCAAAATTTCCACTACTGGTTCTCCAGAACCTGTCAGAACCTGCTGGATTTCACCCCTGGTGAGTAGCCTTTTGGGAGATCAGCATGCTTGGGCGTTTGCAAGATGTTTGATCTGGTACTCTTATCATTCCCCTTTCAGAGTTTTTGCTTTGAGAACATTATGAGTGGAAACTTGATGCTGCTTTCCCAGGGGCTAGTGTCCCAGGAGAGGGCACCGAGGGAGGTGCATGGCATTTAGCAGTCCTCAGCTATCCTTCCCTGGGGGTTGGTATTGATTCTTTAGTTACTCTGTCACCCAAGCAATGCAAGAGAGTAGCTAATCAATTGCATTGACTTGATTGCATCACATTAACAATATTTTTTAAAGGAACTAACCTATAGATGCACTATCTGGCTGCAGGCTGTTAACATTTACTCCTCCATCACATTTGTTATTAAAAATGAGGCATCCAATTATTTTATCTAGCATTTTGGACAGGGGCTTTCTCCACTGTTTTGTAACGGTGTGCCATTAATGCATTTTTAAACAGTTTGTTTTGTCATGTTTTTTTAATGCAGGCCTTGCTTCTATTATGAAGGCTTCTTTGTATTTGTCTTCCCAAC